TAAGCATTGCATCTCTGTAAAGGACTTCAAGGTAACATGGAAACTAAGCCATATTCTCCAGCTATAGCCAAAGCCAGACTCTGGAGAGGAGCATATACCTATTAGACCTTATCTGCCAGACAGACTACTATAAAGATAAGGAGATAGAGTCAGTCCTTCCTAGGCTCAGTCATATAAAGGTACATACTACCAGGATCCCCCAGCTTGTTTACCTAGACCATTCCCCCATCCTTAGCTCCTATTAGTTACGCACTTCTGAAAAGTAAAATGAACTTGCCCACTGAATTGAGAAGGCCCACACCTTCCAGTTTGACCTAAGTTGCAGGATTGAATTTTGACCTTCTCTCCTGGTTTTCTTATAACTGCACACCTCTTTTGGTGGACCTGTATTTTCCATCCCATGCATCTCCTTTGCCCATCTTCTACTGCCCAGTGTAGAAATCAACACCAAAAAGACCAAAGAAAATTCCTGTTAGAAAGAATGGGTTGATTTAGGATGTCTTCATCTTATCATAGAGGAACTTTAAAATAGGCATTTGTCCATTAGTATCCACTCTGTAGCATAGTATATTAGGTACTAATATAGTAAGTAGAACATTTCATTTTACCCTCATAGATCACCTAAAAGGAAATATGATACCTTTTTTTTTTTAGGTGGGGGGGGTGTTGTTGGAGAACGCAGGTTTATTATTCCGACATACCCAGATGAGTTAGTGCTCTGAAATTCTGGGCCCCGAGCTGAGGTTACGTGGAACTTTTGTAGGATATTTGATATCATTTCTTTTAACCATTACAACATTGGTGAGTTTGAATTACTGACCTGTGTGACCAAAGATCATGCACAGGAATTCTTCAATAAGTAGTACACAGATGCAGAATGAATGCAGTGAAATACCTCCACGCGACATCACAAAGTGACCTTCACCACAGGCAGCAGTTTCTCAAAATAACTGTATGCTTACATTTCTAAGAGCTATATTTAAAAAAAAAAAAAAACTAGCATAGAAATGCTACAATTTACACAAGTACTTAAACTACACTCTTATAGGGACCAGTAATTAAGTAACACTCTTACAAAGACCAAAACTGTAAAGTAATATTTCTTCTTCATTTTCCCCTCTGATGCCTGTCTGTATCATATAAGGCATCAACCTTTATAAAGCTGGATATTTAAGGTCTTCCTGTTCAGAAGTCAAGACCATCTTTAGTTTTTTTGCTTTTAGGCATGATATAACAAACTGGACCAGGCAGTTTAAAATGTAAGGAGTGAATATCAGGCCTAAGAGTGTCATAGCAAGAGGTCTTGCCAGGGGCAAGAGCCAGGCTTCCTGGCCAGGTTCATCTCTTGACTTTTTCAAGTTTCCATTGTCATGGCAACTCCAGGTCACCTTCACCCATGCTGATCCGTTCCAATTGGATTCCAGATTTATGGTTAGAAAGAACCTTTTTTTATCTCCCAAAGTTTCAGGATCTGGTCTCCAGCAGTTAACAGATAGTTTGCTAAAGAATGTGACATTCTGTCCACTTAGGCCAGGCAGGGCTGCAAGTATCTTGCTTCTTGGAAAAGAAAACATGTGGAGGTGAAATATGATACCCTTCTATTAGTGAGAAGCTTAGGTTCAGTAGGGTAAAGTGATCTTCCTGAGTTATAAATGGGACAGAATTAGGATTCAAATCTGTTTGTGTGTGACATCAAAACTTGTATTTTATCTTCTGTTTTGTACAGTAACTTAGGCAGAATTTACTATAATTCTTATAATTTTTTAATCTATATTCTTTTGTTTGTTAGTTTGTTACTGAGGATTGAACCCAGGGGTGCTTAACCACTGAGCCATATGCCCAGCCCTTTTTATTTTTTAAGACAGGGTCTTGCCGAGATGCTTAGGACCTTAACTACGTTACTGAGGCTGGCTTTGAACTTAAAATCCTCCTGCCTCAGCCTCCTGAGCCACTGGGATTATAAGCATGTACCATGGGCTTTCCAGTGTTCTTTAGTAGAACAGGTATTTTTGAGTGTTCTTTGCCAGGGCTGGAGTTATAGAAAATAATTCCAGATTCTTGCTGTCAAGGAGCCTATAGTTCAAAGGACAGGTGTGTAAACAAAAAGTCATACTATAATAATGATGGCATTCCTCAAAAGCAGCAAAGGCATAGAGAAAGGACCAAAACCATCTGAAAGAATCAGTGGAGGGCTGGGGATGTGGCTCAAGCGGTGGCGCGCTCGCCTGGCATGCGTGCAGCCCGGGTTCGATCCTCAGCACCACATACAAACAAAGATGTTGTGTCCACCGAAAACTAAAAAAAAAAAATAAATATTAAAAATTATCTCTCGAGAGAGAGAAATAAATGTCACAGTAGTATGGGTAGACAATAGGGATGGGAGGGGAGGGGAGGGGAGAGGAGGGCAGCAGAATACAACCGCCACTAGGATTGCTGTATGTATACACATGGATGTATAACCAATGTGACCCTGCAATCTGTACACGGGGAAAAATGACAATTCATACCCTATTTGAGTCAAATGTATGATATGTCAAGATCATTGTATTGTCTTGAACAACTAATAAAAAAAAAATAAAAATTCTCTCTCTCTCTCTCTCCCCACCCCTCAAAAAGAATCAGTGAAGTTTCATAATATCAGTAGCGTTTAAGCTAGACCCAAAGAATGAATAGGAATTTTTCAAGTGAACAAAAGGAATGATATTTGTTTTAAAAAATAAATCAATAAAAGCAAGGGTAAATGTGAAAAAAATACCAGTAATTTTCTATTGCTCTATGTGAGGTGGGGGGATGGCCAGAGAGAAAAGTAAGGACCAGATAAATCAAGGACCAAATAGATAGTGGGGTGTTGACCATCTGTAATGCAGAGAGACGTGTTAGTTTTGTTCTCCTTACCAAATGATGGCATTGAAATTTTAGCAGAGGAATGACATGACCAGTTTTACCTCTTTAAAAATTCAGTGTGAAAAAATATAAAGTACAAATTAAAGAAAAATTATGAGATTGAGAATAAAGGAAATTTATATAACATTCCAGAAGAGACAAGGAGGGGGAGTATCAAGTAGTAGGGAGGAGACAACAGGAGCACCAGGGAGGTTTGAGCAGAGAGAAAAGGGTAATAGCATTTGGTTCACCACACAAGCCTCAAAACCTTTTATCATCCCAGATTCTTGATCTACCCACCTGCCTTTTCTGTAAACTAATAAAAGATAATAGTTTTTCAATTCGTGATATGGCCTTTCATTTACTTCACATGATAAGCACTTATTTTGCTTTTTTTTTTTACATTTTCACATCTGGATCATACAATGAAAAATTCTGAGAAGTCTCATAAATTTTATGCAATCTTTCAACTTTATCATCATAACTTCAAAGTTAAAAACATATGGTTCATTCATCCAGCTCTTCTAGTATGTGAATTTTTGGTCTGGAATTTATTTCCAGTCAAGTTGTAATGTAAAATCACACTTAAAATTGCCATAGTTACCCTACATTACAAGTTATGATATTGAATTAGGTATAATTATTCATTTTTCTTTTCCTTTTCCCTTAGCAAGTCTCAAGAGTTACAACTAGTGAACTACTTTTTTCTGTATGTAGCATACATTCATCATAACCTGCTTGTTTCCTATACTTCACAGAAAAAGTGCATTTTTCTTCTTTGTAAAGAAAAATATAAATGTATCTTCTCTGGATTTATAAATATGTACATTCATATGTGAATACACAATCATGCATGCACATAAAGACACATATATTTATTATACCAACATTCAGGCTTTATGATGTATAACTAGCAGGTTAACAGGTACTAAAAATCATTTGACCATCCTTTAACACTAATTAGGGTATGCAAAAACTTTGTTCTATTTCCCTGTAATGTATATAAAGAGATCATAGGTTAGTTTAACCAAATTTATTTAAATAGTTTACTTTTTGTACATTAGAAAACACAGAATTGGAAATTTGCAACTTAGAAGAAGAATATGTCTCTATCAAAATTCTTAGAAGTACAGGAAATTATTTTACTAGAACAGCTTAAAATCATTTCAAAATTAATAGATTTTTGTTCAAGATTTTATAAATACTTTGCTGTCAGTGAAATATTTACCATTAAAGTATCATTGTAATGCTTTGCTAGGTACATCCAAAAATAAGAGAGTGGAGTCTTAAAACTGTATGAAATAACTGCCTAAGATCATAATATTAACTTATGTGTCTTTAAGTCAGCATTCTCCAGAATCTAATTTAATTGAAATGGCTTTGCCTGTGTAAACTTCTCCTTTGTTTAAATAAGATTTCACTGTTTAGTTTTGCCTTAAGCAATTGCAGCCTTTTGTTTGTCCATAAAACATTTGATTAAATGTATAGACTAATATGAATAGCTTTTCATCATTCCACACGTACCACTGGCAGTTGCCCCTTTGTCGTTGTATTATTGTCATTGAGAACAAGACTCTATTCTTAACTTGCTCTTTGGGGAAAGTGAGTTTTTCGCAAGAAAACCTCTCTCCTTACCATCATTGGTTTTCAAATTTAAAAGACTCTGTGAAGGGCCTGGAGTTGTAGCTTAGTGGTGGAGCACTTACCTCACATGCATAAGGCACTGGGTTCAATTCTCAGCACTATGTATAAATAAATAGATAAAATAAAGGTCCATCAACAACTAAAAAGAATTGTTTTAAAAAGAAGAAATGCAGCTACTAGTATTCTTGATATAGTGAATTATTAAGTATTTGTTTTCAAAGTACAATGAGTTTTTACTCTTAAAATTAGCTTAGTGTTTGACTTTTTGTAGGATGTTACAGGAAATTCATTTTGCTCTCCCCATCCAACTGTAGTTTATTTTGTTTTTATTTGGATGAATAGTAATTTAGTGATAAAATGATTAATTTTTTTTTGTTGTTTTTGTTTGTTTTGTTAAAGCTAATGTAAGATTTCCAATGGGAGAGGGTAAATGCCTTGATGTTCTTGTAACATGGTGCTTTTTACCTATTCAGGCAATGCTGGATGTGGCTGCAAACCAAGGTTGGCTGGTGACTGCCCTGAATATCACCAACCTGGTTCAGATGTTGATCCAGGGTAGGTGGTTAAAAGATTCTTCTCTTCTTACACTACCAAACATAGAACAGCACCATCTTCACCTTTTCAGGTAATTGTCTTAATTTGCATTGTAATTGTTTTAAGTTTTCTCAATGGATTTTTTTTTTTTTTTTTTTTTTGGAGGGGAGTGGGTATTTCTGGGAATCAAACCCAGGGCTTCCTGCATGCTAGGTTGTACCATTGAGCTACACCTCCAGATCCCCCCAAATTCCCTTATTAAAATACATATAGACACTGGAATTTCATGTGGTGCCTACAATATTGATTCTTTGGAGTAAAAATGCCCCTTTCCCAGAAGGAGACATGCCCTCAGTACCAAGATGAACCACAATTCATTTTAACCTTCTCCTACCTAAATTGTTTGTCCTCCCTTTGCAATATTAAATATGTTTCTATTTTAACTGCATTTATTCCTTTACATTATCAGCTTTATTTAAGAAAACATTATTAAGGTGTTTTGTGATCTAAAACCAAAATAAATTGCCAGCTTCTGTTATGTAGAAGAGACTGAGGGATCTGAAATCCATTGTCAAAAGTAAACTATGGGGAGCTGGGGTTGTGGCTTAGTGGTAGCGCTCGCCTAGCACATGCAAGGCGCTGGGTTCGAGCCTCAGAACCACATAAAAATAATTAAAATAAAGATATGTGTCCTACCTACAACTAAAAGAAAATGTTTTTTAAAAATAGTAAATTATGGATATGAAATGTCCAAAACTAGATAGTTAGGTATAGTGGGAGTTCAAGATATAATCTGTACTGAGTTTATATTAGTATCAAATAATTTAACCCTTAGGTCTCACATACATGGCTGCAAATGTTTCAGCAAGGAAAAGAACAGTACAATATACAAGCAAGATTGACAGTGTTTAAATGAAAATGTCTCTTTCACACCAGTGTTTCACAGCAGTTGAGATACCTTGCAGCCAGAATGTTATTTCACAGTTATGGAGATAACCAAAGTAGTCTGGCTTGCCATCATGCGCCCTATACCTCTTGTCAGTTGCATGAGGATCGAAGTTATTTAAGCCATTCAAGTACAGATGCCAACAAGAACCTCAGGAACACCTGGGGTCCCCTAAGAAAAATCCTAATTTGAATCAAGTGTACTGGGTGACAGGGTGACAGGTATGCTTGAGTCCCTACCATAGGATGTCCCTGGAAACTAACACACATTCAGAGAGTGAGCCATATCAGCAACAGGTGGCATGGAGAGAAGGTAGATATATCTACAACTTGTCAGAAGCCCTTCTGGTAAGGTTCTGAAGGTTATGTGAGTTGGATTTAGCAGTATAGAAAGCACATTAAAGGTACAACCTCACACAGCATCTATGAGGGAATCTGCTTGAGGGTATACGAGATTTGGTCCAATTTTCTTATCACCCTTAAAAATTCAATTTTAATATAATTTCGACTATATTTTCTTCTTACTATAGCTTTTAGGTGGCTCGTGTTCCTGTGATCTGGCACAACTTAAAATTATCTCAAAGATCTCCAAAGTGTACTTTAAATTCTGTGCTCCCCAAACTTAAAATGTAAAATTTTATTCAAGTAATTATATTAGACATTTGCACACATTCACCAAAAACATGTCAGGGTTTCACATCAGCACTTTATCTCCATGGAAACATTGTTTCACATCAGTGCTTCCTATAGAAAGACATCCACTGCATATGAACTCTTTTAAGTATTTACTGAGCCTGATACATGATTTAGAGTTTACAGATTTCATACAATGATAGTGATACTGCCTTAGGTTGATATAAAGAATGTTAGCCAATATTTAAAACTTAATATAATGGCCTATAAAGAGTTATATCTTAATTTTTTAACAACTGTTAATATCATACACACCAGTGTTATCAGAAAATCTTACTTGTGCTTTGAAAGAGTTATTTTGTTGGTGTTGATATAATTTCTAAGGAAATGGAAACCAGTTATAAAGTGCTCACGTGCTAGGTGCCGAACCTCCATTGAGTGCCTTCCTGAACTGATTCATGCCTGTGGAGGGAAAGACCATATATTCAGCTCCATGGTCGAGAAGGAGCTACAGGCCACCAAAACAAAGCAGGTAAGGCCCCCTTACTCTGTGAAGTTGTACCAAGAGTTTTCTAACTTAGGACATGGGTTTTGAAGTCAGTCCCACCTGTGTTTAAATTCTGTCTTTGCCATTTACTAACCATGGAAACATTATATATATATCTTATGACATTCTTGTGAAAGTTAAACAAAATAGTATTATGTAAACTGCTTTATATAGTTCTTGACATAGAATAATAATTGAACAAATGATAGTAATAGTAATTAATAAGATTACTGGCATTAATAGAACTTGTTCAGTATAATGCTTTCAAGCTCGCTTCGGAAGGCTTCATTTAGCCTGTCCATCACCAGATTGCATTACCCAGGAGCCTACCCCGTCTCTTCTAGGTAGTTTTGCATTTTTTATGGTAGGGTATATTTTCATACAATTCCTTCAATTACTTGTTTATGTTCCACTCTTATTTTAATCACATTATTATTCCTAGATTCAAAGATATTCTTTCAAATAAACCCCTTATTTGTTAACTATGTAACTTATATGGAAAGTTAAATCTAAACAATCTTTGGAAGGCCAAAAACCAAATGAACAATGCCAGATATATTTGGCTTTCTAGCCTTTTAAGTCTTAAGCAGTTTTACCCTAAACATGTCAAAGTAAATGTTCAGGATTTATAACATGATTATATTGATTTGTATGTGCACATATTAAAGAAACTTTTAAAGCATATCTCTTTTTCTTTCCAAGTAATACTTTTTTTTGAACAAGACTTGGAAAAAGTGTAACAGGCATTAATGTCTGATTGATTGTTCAGTTTCTGTTGAACCCAAAATTGGCACAAAAAAAGTTATTTAAATGTTCATAATAAATGTCTACCTTTCTAACTAAATTACCATTAAAATTATGAATAAAAGCAATATATTGAAATCAAAACAAGGTTTCTGTTAGCAACAACAGATTTCTAATATAGCATACGTTGATTTGAAGCCAAGTTTTAGATGTGATGAAAAATTAGAACATTGTTATAATTAGTTCAGGGAGAACTCAGAAGTAAACTTACTTAATTTATTTGCATAAATTGCCATTCTGTTATCTTTAAAACCAAATGCAAATTGGCTCTGTCTGATATGATGATGGTTATTTGGCTCAAAAGTGCTTCAATTTGCAGAGCAATCTGGTGTCGGCTCTGCAGTGAGGCGATCCCAGGTAACATACAAATCCTGAATTATTCCAGAAATTAGTATGTTTAAAGCATCAATTTAAGTGCTAATTGCAGTAGTAATGAGAAAAAGCAGTACGACTGTGAGATTTGCATCTCCTACCCCATCAGTATGCCTGGAACGGCTGCTGACTGGCAGAGGATTTGGCTGCTAATTAAATAATTGTATGCATGGCAGTGCTCTTGCCTGATTCAATAGATGAAGATTAATCCTCAGATAAATATGTTTGGCTGGTATTGAAATATCTTAGCAGTTTCTTTTAAAAAGCTCATGTTTTATATACATAAATATACATATATACCAAATAAATATATGTGTACACATTATAAGTTAAAACATAATAATAAGTCCTACAAAAAGATGTCATATGTATATATAAGCCAGGTAGACATTTGGAAGCATTGTAAAGAAAAATCTCAGTGAGTTGCTAATATCAGAAAACATCATATTGGTAACTAATTTAATGGTACGAGTACAAAAACATACGAAGTCCTGCTTTGTGTGGTAAATGTTACTTGCTTTGTTTCACAAAATTAAATGTTCTGCAGAAATTGGAGTTGAATTGAAATTTTGCATTGGATTTATTTATTTTTTTTGATTCCTAAGTGATAGTTTGGTTCATCAAACCTACTGCATTTGATTACATATACCAGCAACACTAAAGTCTTAGCAAACAGAAAATTAAAGCTTATAAGGAAATCCATACCATATATAAAAGAACTAAAAGGAAAACTAAAATTAAAGTCATTTTGTAACTTTAAAAACTACCTTAGAAGGTAACAACTGATAAAACAGCTATTAAGAAGTTGTCTTGGGCTGAGGTTGTGGCTCAGCGGTTAGCACGTGCAAGGCCCTGGGTTCCATCCTCAGCACCATATAAAAATAAATAAAGATATTGAGTCCAACTACAATTAAAAAATAAATAAATGTTAAAAAAAAGAAGTTGTCTTGACCAATAGTTATATTACCACATAATTGTAAATGTTAAAAAAAGGTTACAGTTACCTAGGTCCTCAAGTTTATGGTGTTATACACTTTCCATGGATATAAGATTCATTCCTTCATTTGTTCATTCAGCATTGTTAAGCATGTACTATTGGAATACTGATTACTTGCTTTTAATTTAAAAAGCAAGAATAAAGTTGGTAAAATATTTCTACTCTTTTAATATGTGTGATTTTAACTGGTACTTTCAGCATGATAACGCCAAAAAAAAAACCTATTTGTTTTTACAAGGAACCCTAGTCTTACAGGATTCCCTATGTTATAACAAGTGGTCAATGGATTATACTGACATCAACAATTGCATCACAGATTTTTTTTCAGATTTCCTTTATATCCCTAAGTAATGTTTTCTACCTTAAAAGTCACATAAACGTTAAAATAGATGCTTCTCTTTAAAAAAAAAAATAGCAATAAACACTTTTAATCCCTCTTTTTTTTTAGTATAGTCAATAACCACTCAATATGAAGAGGCATTTATAATAAGTTATAAGTTTAGATAATAACTTTTTGGTTTAAAAAAAAACTTAAAGAGGATTTTAAAAAACACTGTTCTACATATATTCACCTACGTACAAGTACAAGAAAAACTAGGGAAACCTGAATAATCAGTGGATTGTGTCAATGCCAGTATCCTGGTATTGTGCTATAGTGTTGAAAAATGCCACCATTGCATGATACTGGGTAAACGATGCAAAAGATGTCCATTATTTCTTTCAATTGCATTGAATTCAGAATTAATCTCAAAATTAAAAGCTTGATTTTTCTAAAATTACACTATTTCTTAGTTGATCGCTCCATGTGACATTTTTTTGTTGTTTTTTCTTTTTAGGCATGGAATTTTTTATCTCGTTTGCCAGTGATAGATGTTGGCATAAGTGTTAAAGGCTCATGGGATGACTTAGCTGAAGGACACAATGAACTCTCTGTCTCAACTCTGACTGCAGACAAACGAGATGACAACAAATGGATCAAATTGCATGCTGATCAGGAGTATGTGCTCCAAGTCAGCTTGCAGAGAGTCCACTTTGGGTTCCACAAGGTATAGTATTTGGTTTCCATTCTCAAATATTTCGCACCAACTACCAGCATGTGCCACCACACATATCTTTTATATTACTAATGTGTCCGTGTCATTCATGAATCCTGCTTTCTCAACTGGCCTTAACCAGCAAGAGTCAGTCTTTGACATTAGTCAGTCAGTTCTCATGTGCCATTTTTCAACCCCAGAATATCCACCTTACATAATCATATATTGCCTGGAGTACTATTCTCAAAGTGTGGTTTACACTCAGTCTAGCAGAATTTCCTCGAGTGCCTTTTAAAGTGTAGATTCTTGGCCCCATTCCTGAATGACTGAATCAAAATCTCAGGGTCTGAAGGAATCACAGAACTGATGCTCTTTTTGGTGCCCCACTTGATCCTTTTTTGTTTTGGTTTGATTTTTTCTTGTACCTAGAATTGAATCCAGTGGCCTCACACATACTAGGTAAAGCTCTACCATCCCCAGTCCCCCCATGTACACATGATTTTTAAGGACATTAAAGTTTGAGAAGCACTGCACTAGAGGCACTTTGGTATAGGAACCACATCAGGCCAGATGTAGATGAAATTGAAGCTTTCCTTCTTAGCTCTATTGAATTTGAATAAGATGCTAAGCTTTTCTGAGACTCAGTTGCCACATCTACCTGCTTCCTTCATTATAATGCACATGAGAGAGCTTTGTCAATTTCATACAGACCAAAAATGTACAGTAGTTTTATTTTAAATTACTATGCTCTTTTCTGTAGCCTCTGACACCAAAATTAATTATTTAGTCCTCTAAGAATATTAGTACACATAGTGTGAGCAGATTGGTTTTAGTACCATAGTAATTGAAATAAGAAAGAATTTGTCCTTTTTTTCTTTTTATCCTAGTGGATTCAGGGTTTTTAATATCTAGAGTAACCCTCTGGGATGAGAAAGCCCCTCTGTTTTCATAGAATAGTCACGTGTATTGTTACAATGTCCTTTCAGTAAAAGGTCTCATTTCATTTCATTTCTAATACTGAATATCAGCCAATACGAACATAAACTGATAGGCCTCTAGCATTTCAGAGCTTCAATATGAGCATTTCTAGATGAAATGTTCTAAATTCCAACTTCCAAAAATAATAATAATCATAAACTAATCATAGAAATAGTTATAAAAATCATAATAATAAAGATAAAATCATGGAGCAAAAGTAGATTTCTTTTTTTAACCTTCAAAATCTACTTTAAAATTAGATTTAATCATGTTCAAAAAAATTGTAGATTTTATTCCTAACTGCTATGGAACTATATTACTCTCTTATTTTTAAAATGTTATAACTAAAGCATCTGCTCCTGGAATACAGAGTGAAATCTCAATAGGAACATGCCATTATTAATATGTTTTATGCCATAAAGTCATTGTCTTAAAGACACATTACAATAACCTTGTTTTTGTAAAAGTCGGTCCAAGATAAAGACTCCAGATTCTGTCATTACATTAACTCTAGTCTTTTGTTTTTAATTTTTAATATATATATATTTAGGTATAGTTGGACACAATGCCTTTATTTTATTTACTTATTTTTATGTGGTGCTAAGGATCAAACCCAGGGCCTCGCACAAGCTAGGCAAGCACTCTACCACTGAGCTACAACCCCAGCTCCGACTTTGGTACTAGTCTTAAATTGTAGTGATTACTGTGTATTACAAATTGCATGACTTATCATTCCTCACTCCTCAGAGAAAGGAACTTTTGATATACTATGTGCTTTTTTATGTGTATTTTATTCTTGGGTGGAAAGAAGATATTGATCTGATATTGTGCTTATTATCTTGAGTTACACAGTCTAGTCTTGATTGGTTTTTGTTTGTTTTCCTAAGCATCAGTTCTTTGTGAATAAGACTGGGAAGATTTGGTTCACATGGCTATATCTCCGTTTGTTTGTCTGTAAGTGGGGTATTAATGTTAATTGGAGGAATGGCTTGAGATTTTACTAATTTGATGTCAGGATTCAGAGCTTTATTCTTTCTGAGCCAAATATTCTGATAGTAATAGCTCAAAGGTATTACTTCTGTATGTACTGAAGAAACATACAAAAATGTATCAAACACCACAAAGGAAGGGAATTAAAGACATCCCAGATGGAAGTGCTAAACTCTTTGTTTATGGCCTTCCAGTAAGACAGCAGTGCCTTTTTTTTTTTTTTAGTTGTAATTGGACACAATATATTTATTGTATTTATTTTATTTTTATGTGGTGCTGAGGATCAAACCCAGGGCCCCGCACATGCTAGATGTGCGATCTACTGCTGAGCCACAATCCCAGCCCCGAGCAGTGCCTTTTAACCACCACCAAACCATGTGAAAAGTGTAGACGTAGTCAATATTTTATCTTTTTCTCTGGTTTATAGGGAAAGCAAGAGAGCTCTGCAGTTACCCCTCGATTTCCCAAATCAAAAGATGAAGGATGGTTCTTGATTTTAGGAGAAGTGGACAAGAGAGAACTTATTGCTTTAAAACGAGTAGGATATGTTCGAAATCATCACATTGCTTCCCTTTCTTTTTTCACCCCTGAAATACCCGGAAGGTAAGCAGAATCTTACCACTAAAGTTATGAAAGAATTAAATGTGACTCTGATTAGAAAAACAGTTTTACATTTTTGTTCTATTTTCATATTCTAGGTATATCTTCACTCTCTATCTCATGAGTGACTGCTACCTTGGTCTGGACCAGCAGTATGACATTTACCTCAACGTCACACAAGCAAGCATTTCCATGCAGGTCAACACAGAGGTCTCTGATGCCTTCACTGACCTGGCAATAAAATAACCTGACCCAAACAATGCATTTGAAAGAATTTGTTAATGAATCTGGCTGTTCAGTCATCTGGACAAAGTTGAATTACTTGATGTTTGCCTTGACAGAATCAACTCCTAACCTCAAGACATCCAGGAAATTAACAGTGGCTACAGTATTGACTCCAGCGACACCAAGTTAGCCACAGTGGCCTTTTAACAAGTGTTGCCTTTTATAATATTGTCTTCTTTCTTTACATGTAAAATGAATGAGCATGTAGAATAATCTTATAATTTGTGTATATGTGAGGTTATATGAGTTATCAATCAAATTTTACATCTCATAATGTACTGTTTACATGAATACTGGTTTTTCCTTTTTTTAAGACAAACTACATTGAGGTGTGACCATGTTAGGATTTTAACTCTGCATCATAAAATGTATAAATCTATGAGGTGATATACAGTGTGTCTTGTGAGCAAAATTTATACTTTGATCTGATCACAATGAAATGATTTCAAGAATTTCTTATAAATATTAATAATATATGATGTAAAATTATATTACAGAGTCCAATGACAATTAAAAAAAGAGAAAAGAATATACTGATCTTAGAAAAGGTAGATATAATACTGGTGGAAATAAAATATATGGAGTGCCACTTTAAGACAAGCTGACTCAAGTTTTTCTCCTGCTTCTCTCGCTGACTCAAGTTTTTCTCCTGCTTCTCTCCCTTTATATCCCTTTTTCCTCTTCTTCCCTCTTTTTCTTTCTCTTCTACTTCAACACTATTTCTCTTTTTGACATATTTATTTATGCAAGGAGAAAAATACAGTCTAACTCATGAAGTAACATGTAGAGACAATTTTTGGTCTTTATCATCCACTTCCACAGATAGGTTTCCAAGTATAATAATGGAAATATCTCTATGTCCATAAAGTTCCTTTTTGGAAAAATGTTGTTTGAAACTAAAATGTTGTTAAAGTTCAACATCCATATAGTATACATTATAGTGGAATGCAATTCTGTCTTTGCAAATGATTCCTGAATAAATGATTTTTAAATATTTTTTAATATAACTGTCACAAGTAGTAAAATATAAGTTTTTCTGAATTTGAAATTTATGGTTTATGTATATCTCCTCTTTCATGCTAAAATAAAAAGAAAAGGAGGACGAAGAAATAAAAGTATCATGAAGGGAACCAGGCAGTCACTTTCCAAAAATAAAATCTAAATAACTGAGATGAACGTGCCAAGTAATGAGGGGATGAGGTGCCCCAGAAGCTTTAGATAGAGTTCTCTGTGTTTTTCTTTTGGAAGTTTATTTCCTAATTGAGATTTGTGCCTTCTCTATTGTTTTAGTGGAATTTAAAGAAAATGAAGTTTACATGTAGACAACAGTTACCAACCAGTCCATACAGAAACCTGACTGGATACAGCCTCACCTGAAACTTCCTGTTTTTAGCATCATCTCTCTGTTAGGAAGCATGCAGGTTTTGGGAAGTAGGAAATCTGCTTCACTTATCATGACACAGGATGTAGGAGAAATTATATCCATCAGAGAGGAAAATAGTAATATGACAAATCTTTAAGTGTCAAAATAAGGCACAGAGGGTACTAGTAAAGCAGGGTGCACTTTGATACAAAAGTTAATCTTATTCTGATGGGTCTATGATGGTATCCACACTGATTACTTACCCAAAATTTTAGTGTTATGTGTGTCGTGAATAGGATGTATAATAATCAGATTAGTCCTATTTTCAGATTTATAAATCATAAATTTCTCATAACTTTTCATGACCAAGAAATTCATCAGTATTCAAAATTATTCAAATACTGACTGCTCAGAGAATGATTTGTCCTAAAATTTGTGAGGATTATTTTGTTTTCTTAGGGAGAAATGACAAAAAGATTTCAGGTAATTGCCATAAAATGATTTTCTTAATTAGACTACCCACAGCCCACTTCCCCTCAGATACTGCATCATCTCTGAGCTGGCTATTACATTGTACAACCCTAAAATTCTATGGTGGGTCATTTTCATATTCCTTTGGATTTTATCAATTCAAAATAGTTGAAGTGCTGATCATATTTGTTCTAGGCACCGTGTTGGGGACTCTAATGTATTAAAGACATACCCACCCTTCAGACGAGATAGTCTAGTGATGAAAACAAGATGTACATAATTGTGATAAACTAATCAAAATAGTAATAGGAAGAAAATGCTCTGGGGGATTAGAGAAATATTACATAAAAATATTAAGGGATATTTAGACTGGGTTTGTTGTATTTTTATGTTTTACTTTATGCTATTTTTACTGACATTATAATTGTACATCTTTATGGGTGTTTGGAACATTGATACATTGTGTATTGAATAACTCAGGATATGTAGTTATATTTATCCTGTCTGGCTGTGACTTTGTACACATTAACCAATCTCTCCTCCTCAACATCTCCCCTACTCTCCCAACCTCTGATAAACACTATTTTGCCCTCTAGTTTTATAAGCTCAGCTTTTTAAGATTCCACAAGTGAGTGAAATCATGCAGTATTTGTCTTTTTATGCCTGGCTTATTTCACTTAACGTGATCTCCAACATATCTGTGTTGCCACAAATAACAGAATTCCCTTCTTTTATGGCTGAATAATATTTCATTTGTGAGTTTGACATTTTATTTATCAATTCATCCATTGATGGACACAGTTTCAAAATTCCATATTTGAGTATTGTAAATAGTGCTTTAGTAAACATGAAAGTGTAGGTATCTCTTTGATATGCTAATTTCATTTCCTTTGGATGTATATATAGCTAATAGTAATGGGGTTACTATTACATATATTGGTTCAGCTTTTAGTTTTTTGAGGAAACTCCATGCCATTTTTCATAGTGGCTATACTAATTTACATTCTTACCAATAGTGTATAATAGTTTTCTATTCTCCACAATCTCATCAGCATTTGCCTTTTTGTTTTGTTTTTTATTATTATAGCGATTCTAACTGGGTTTTTAGATATCTCTTGGTTTTGGTTTGAATATCCCTGACAACCAGTAATATTGAGCAGTTTTTTATGTAATTGTTAGCCATTTGTATATCTTCTTTTGAGACGTCTGCTCAGATCATTTGTCAATCTCATTCACTGTAGCTACAAATAAAATAAAAATACCTAGGGATAAATTTAACCACAGAAGCAAGAGATCTCTACATTGAAAACCATAAAACATTAGTGAAAGAAACTGAAGAGCATAGCAAATAAATGAAGACATTCCATCTTCATGGATTGGAAAAATTAATAGAGCTAAAATGTCCATACTATCCAAAATGATCTATCCATTGAATGCAATTAAAATGCTAAAGTCATACTTAATTGAAGTAGAAAAAAATCCTAAAATTCATAGTCCTATTCATATGGAATCACAAAAGACCTCATATAGCCAATCTTGAGCAAAAAGAACAAAGCTGGAGGCATCACACAACCCAACTTCAAAATATATTATAAAACTATAGTGACCCAAACTATCTGTGGTGCTAGCACAAATATAGACAAAGACTAATAAAATAGGATTTTCAAATCCAGAAATAAATTCATGCACTTAAAATCAAATTGTTGGCAAAGACACCAAGATCATGCTTTTGGGCAATTACCCTCTTCAGTAAATGCTGTCAAGAAATCTAGATGTCCACACATAGATGTATGAGATTAGATTCCTCTCTCACACCACATTCAAAAATTAACTTTACATGGATTAAAGACTTACATATGTAAGATCTGATACTATAAAACTATTAGGAAAAAAACAGGAGGAACATTACATGACATTGGTCTGGGCAATGATTTTTTTAAAATATTGTTTAGTTTTCAATGGATCTTTATTTTATTTATTTAAATGTGGTGCTGAGAATCTAACCCAGTGCCTCACACATGCTAGGCAAGGACTCTACCACTGAGCCACAATCCCAGCCCCTGGGCAATGATTTTTAAAAAGAAAATAAAGCACAGGCAACAAAAGTAAAGAAAGGAGAGAGGGGAAAAAAATGGGATTGCATCAAACTAAAAAGACCATTTTCAACAAAAGAAATAAGTGAAGAGAAAACCCACAGAATGGGAGAAAATATTTGCAAATTCTTCACCCAACAAGATCTTAATACCAGAATATATAAGGAACTCAAAAAAAAAAAAAGAGAGAGAGAGAGAGAGAGAGAACTAAATTGAAAAGAACACAAATAAATGGAAATACATTCCATCTTCATGGATTGGAAAAATTAATATTGTTAAAATGTCCATATGACCCAAAGTGATCTTACACATTTAATCATTAATGCTGATGATTAGAATTGGGAGGGCAGGATGAAAGAGGATTCCAATTAAAACAGTATTAGCAAGACTCTGAAATAGCCCAGCCTAGAGTGTCTAGCTGGTCTGCATTTTCTTTTTCTTTTCTTTTTATTTTTTTTTCACTGAAGCAAAAGTAGAAAATTTATGGAAAATCAAACAGAAAAATAACCTCAAACAAGTAACAAAGCAAAGACTAAAAGGAAAAATACCTAAATTAAGACAAAGCTCCAAACTATTTCAAAATGATGAAATTATATTGGATATGGTATCTAAAAGATGCAGGTGGGGGATGGGGATCTGATGTGGGTGTGGCTGTCAGCAGAGGACTGTGAGAAAATCCTTGCGGGAAAGCAAAGGTCCTTCATTCCTGGAGATGCAGGCAGCCTCTGCACTGGGCTGCAGACGAAGATCCCCATAAATTAGGAAAGAGTGATACAATTGGCTATGGGCCGGGTCAGCATCAAGGGAAGGAAGTCACCCAGGAACACCCATTCCACTCCTAGACTGGAGACTCAGACACTTCCAGGTGACAAATGACAGGTGGGGACAACAATTAGATGGAATAGTAGCCGGAGTGAGGACCTGTGGAATGTGGCAGGTGCAGAACTCCCATCCACTCAGAAATCTCCTGGAACTGATTTGTCTGGGTCTTCAAGGTCACCTTCCTCAGGCTCTGCAGTGAGAGTCTCTTCAAGGCGGCTTCTAGTTCCTCATCCTCTCCCCTGAGGGGCCAGGCACTCTCCTGGGCACCTCCCCGGAGGTTCCCACAGGCCTGGGCCTGAATGGAAAAGCTTCTGGTTCTTCTTGGGCTGGGGTAGTGGACATCTTTGCAGGATGGGCATGTACAACAGAAGCTAGAACAGGATGGGCCTGCCCAGGTTGAGTGTGCCCAGGATGAGCGCGAGGGCCTCCTGAGGCGTCCTGCGAATGGGTGATAGCCTCGTTCAGAGTTCGGGTATATCTTCTGTTGCACCGTAAACCAATTCTGCACCTGTTGCTCCTCTAGGCCGAGGCTGGAAGCCAGGACCACCATGGTACCGTGGGATGGGAAGGGGTCCTTCAGGAAGTGTGCCTCTAGCTCCTGCATCTGCTGCTTGCTGAGGATCAAAATAGACCAATCCGAGGTCCATGGGCCCAATATTGCGAAGGCTTTCGATCTCATCCATGGCAGCGGAGGCTCCGTTCAGAGGAAAGGGAGGTCTGCATTTTGAAAGAGTCCAGCAAACAAAAACCCAAGTCTGTGAAGTAACCTTGAGTTAGTAAAAACTGCAAACCTTATGCACATGCATTGGAATTCTTGGAAAATTCACCAGTGGTCACGGCTTGACACTGGA